ATGAGGGTATCTTCTGAAAAATGAAGATGCAGAGTGCCAGAAGTGACTTCTGCCGCTGTCTTCTACTAGTGCTTCTTGGCTGAAGGTTTGTAGGATACCAGAAGACCAAAGGAAGCATACCCAAACAAAAGCGTCTGAATGAACCACTGAAACTGAATTCCTGGGTCAGTGATTCCTTTAGATCTGGAACATTAACAAAAGCATAAAATGTGTCAACAAACTTCTGGTCTTGCAGACTATACTGTGATGCTTACAAAGTCAGGTTAGATATTTTTACCCATCTTTGGTACATCAGACTTGATTAGAACATTTGATCCTAGTGTCATTAATTTTAATCTGCTGAGGCTATTTCCTGCACCAATTAAACATACCAGTTCTTGTGATTTTAGTGGATTTTAAGCTATCTACGGAACAAAGGGTCTTTCAGAGATTTCAGGCATACAATTTCCTCAGTAACACATAAATTGCAACTTCAGTCTATGCTATTTGAGATGACTTATCCTAGAAGTTTATGCGCAAAGATCAAAAAAATTAGAGCAGTTTAATACTAATATTAATATACAAGTCTGTCTGTAACTCCTGTTGACTACAGTCACTGCAGGTGGACTGTGTGCTAGCAGGGCAAAGAGGCCTGACAATTACTGTGCGATGCAGGATGGTGGAGCACTGTTACCTCAATTTGTGGCTAGAAAACACGGGTGCAAGGGGCTGATGATGCCTGATGCGATTTATAAAGCAGAGACCTTCCTATGTCAGTTAGTTTTAACTTGGCATGTGTGAATTTTTCTGTATGTTACAGAAAATGTCACTTTTTCCTCCACTTCATTGTTGTTGGGAAATACTAGTGAATTTCCAGAGAAAAGGAGTATAAACATGATAGCAAAACCAATTGATTTCACATTTCCAGTAGACTATATCAAGCATAATCATGCTCCAGCTCATTAGTTTACAAGGCAGCTCCCTCTGCTGACCTTTGCTAGAACAGTTCAGCTGTTCATTGTTCCAGCAAGTGTTGATTAACACATTTCTTAATGTTCATTCTTAACCTGTCTCACCGGCTGTGAAAAACTTTTTTTTATAATCTCATCTGTAGTGTTTCCAAAAGAGTACAAAAACTGGAAAAGTAGGGCTTAAGAAATTTACCTGCTTATATAAAGCAAGTTTACTTGAAGAGACCATAGGCAGAAATACAGGCCAACAGCCAATGGCAGTACTACTATTGATTAACAAATTTCTGTCTGCTTCGTCCCTAGTTCTTCCTCATGCCTCCCTTGTGATATTCCTAAGTAGACATTGCTTTTATATCAGTAAAAAGGATATGGTGTTTGGTGCTCATAGTGAAGTACAATTACTTAGTAACCTACAGAAGTGTGCCTGAAGAGATGATAGGCAGACAACCTATGCTCTCTTCCTTCTGGGCTTTAACATTGGTCTATAAAACTTCATCACTTCATTACAACAAACCCATTTGGTACATTCATTGGTAATCAAGTTCCCTCATACTTAAAGTCACCTTAAGCAGAATCAGAGTTAAAGTCTTAACTTTAAAGCTACATAATTTAAAACTGAAGCCCAGTAAAAAATTTACTACTAACTCCCATTCTGAAAGCAGAAAACCTTCATCCACATTCTGTTATCAAAAGAAATATCTCAAATAGCTTTCCATGGAACAAACAAAATTTTTCCAATGGAATAAAATCCCTCTGCCTCCACAGCTGTGGACTGTCCACAAATGAAGTGGAAAACCACCATTTTTACAATGGCAAACAGACAGGCCATCTACTCTATACACCTTGAAAAACAGTATCTACATTCTTCTGAATTATTACAAATAAAATTCAAATGAACAGACGGATTATGTGTTTGCACAGCACCCTTTCCAAATAATTTGTTATCCTAATGTAAGACTTAGCTGGCCTTACTTTTATAGTCTGATTAGTCAAAGTATTTTATCCCACAGACATGCAGATACAAGTAGATCTTCAATAGCCCAAACAGAAGTGTCTAATTGTAATCTCACGATATAGATACAATCCTTTAAGCAGGTAATGAGCAGTCTTAAAATTTGGATGAGGTAAGATAAAGTTTTAATAACTGAAGTTACCAGAGTATTTCTACACTGTCTATTGTTCGCTCTGCTTCTTGAAGTGCAACATTACCCCGTGAACAGTGAGTTCAGTGGCGGACAGACAAGCTCTGGCAAACCTTGCTGCTGCCAGTTTGGCAAGCTGCCATCCTTTGCTGTCGCCACCCTGTACAACAGGAACCACTAGCAGAATTTGCAGGAGCCTCTTTTGGAGGGTAGCAAACTACCACTGCAGCAAGAAAGTTATCAGTATTGTCTGAACTAATGCTGCTGCTGAGAACCACCAAAATCGGCCTGTAGCTTATGTCACCTGTATCAGAAATCCTTTTCAAAGAATCTGTGTTGGGGTGGGGGGAGGGAATGACTTACTCGCATAACTTAACACTGTAGAAGGCTTCCACTACGTGAATCAACCAGGACACCCAGAACCTAATTAAAAGAAAACATGTTTTATTTTGTTGAAACCTTGGGAGAAGACTGTTGTATCTGAGATGTGTTATGCAGAGAATGTAAAACTGGAAGCACAGAAATGACACCTCACTTTAACCTAGCAAGTGAGGCGTGTATCTTATCTTGGGGAAAAAACCCATGCGTAGTCTTAAAAGAAACTGAAGTCCACTGAGAAAGTTAAAGGAACTGTAACTCGTGCAATATGCCTGGACCTGAGATTTCAAGTATCTGCTGCATGTTTCCAAAACTTTCAGCACTTGGATTAAGCCAAAGACACAAATGTTTAGTGGAAGAAGTACATGTTAATCGTAGTTAAGCATGCAAAAACTATGCTTTTACTTAGACAAGCATTTTTAGAGGTCCTGAAGTTTTGACAGGTTTAGTTCTAGGAAAACAACTGTATGTACAGATTCAGACTACATAATATAACTTGATTAGTCAAACTTGGTTTACAATTTTTCATATAGAAGCTTTTTTAAAAAGAAGTTACCCAGGATATTCAGTTAGGACCAACTCAATGCCTTGCTAAAGCAAAAGATGCTCTGAGCAAAGATGAAGGCTTATCTTCTACGTGACGCATGGTAAAAATAAACAAGCAAGTCTTGCTGTGTTCTTGTCTTTACAGGAAGTCAGGAAGTAAGAGATATGGATACAGGGAAGTGTTTTCCAGCACTTTTGTTAATTAAAATAACAAAAACTAAGTTTTGTAACCCAGCAGACTTTAGCACTATGCAGTTTTTTCAGCAGGTTCTCTCTCTTGTGGACAGGATCAGGATAAGTTAGTAGCAGGGTGTAAAATGTTGCTTAATTGAAGCTGGAAAAAGAAGACTCCTAAAGAGAGAACTGGACCACTTGAGTAACAATTTGACAAAAGAATGACTTTTACGAGGTGTTACAATACAATTTTACATATGGACTAATAACTGTCTCCAAAAGTAGTATCTTTTTTCCTTTCTCACTATAAAAACACAGATGCCAAATTCTAAGTTGAATTTTTAAATTTTCACACTTGTCTTAGCCTGTCTAGTCTTCTACATAGTTATTACCCCACACCCTTAGTTGTAATGAGGTCGAAAGAGAGCTATTTAAACGTAATTAATAACCAGGTGACAGGAAAGCTTGTTAACACAGACTAAGCAGAAGAGTCCAAGAGAGGCAACAGGAAAGATGCAAAATAATTATACAGTCAAATATAACTTACCCATAGCATACCCATTTGTGGTGGTTTTCTACTAAATAAGTAAGGAAGGTACCAAATACTCCCAAATAACTATAAGGTATAGTTGAAGGCCAAAGCGTTACCCACTGGAAAAAGAAAAGGTAGAATTACTATCAGTTTCACTTTGAAATTAGCTTTCTTTTAGCTCCCCCCACTCCCCATGGCTGTCAAACATGGTTTAGGGCTCACCTATTCATAGTACTTCAATTCTTTCATTCCATTTACTTTGTCTAAGACCCATATTCTTCAACAACAAGACCACTAGCCTTCTAAAGCACACCTACTTCAGAAGATTCAAACTTATGAAACTTCTTTTCCTTGACATGGGGTTTAAGGTTGCTGCCTGTGTACCAACAGCGCAACTGCATGTTAAGTGGCATTTAAGCTGTAAGATCATTACCTATTACACAGGACAGCAGCAAAAAACACATTGTCTCTATCCCGAAGAAGTTAATCTGGTGCAACTGACCTGAAGAATTCAAACAATGACTAGACTGAGAAGGAGGAATCACCACTTGTCTATAACTAGGGGATTGGTCTGTCGTCTTCTGTCCCTTAGGAAAGAACAAGTCAGATTTTGTTTTATTTTGAACAGGGCCCAGCAGATAATTGAGCATGAAGCCCAAGACCAAAGACGCAGGGAGTGTTCAGGTATCTTCCCTGTCATTGAGCTGTCCCCAGGGCTTAGCGCTGTCCCCCTTGACTTTAATGAGCTGTGCAGGAGAAGCAGGGGTTCAGTGAGCTGTGCCCTTCAGAGTCCATGGGGGATGGAAGGTAAACACTAAGCTGGGCCAAAGTTCACGCTGGCTTATCTTCCCCCTGGCATCGATGCTGTGGCTTCTAACTATATGGAAATTTGGCTCTGCGAAGCATGTGGCAGAGGGACGGATTTAAACAAGGAATCTGCTTAAAGCTCATTTTGTTTCTCAAAACAGTCCAAAAGCTGTTTTGTGAGCTGTTTGGCCTGCCTTGACCGTCATTTTTTCAGCAATGGTTCTCATGTGTCGAAAATCCTTGCAAATAGAAGAAAAACTACCACGCGTGGAAATCAATGGATGACCTTCGTAAATTTGTCATATGTACCAAAACTGCCATTGATCTCCCCAAGCCAGTAATCTGACCTATTTTAGCTGCAGTCCATTTGCACAAGTTAAGCCAACAGAGCGACAGAACCAGCCTGTTCTCCAATGCCACCGGCTGAGACGGCCTGTAGCTACAGCCATCGCTTGTAAATGCACCTTATCATTTACCGACACAACTGACAGCTGTCCTACAGCATGTTCCACTGATGCCCAACGCAGTTCAGGCTTTGTGAAGGCTGAAGAGGCTTTCCCAGGCCACCCACCACACCGGGGATGCTGCACGCCTCCAGCACCACAGCCTTACTTCGCTTCGAAGCCAAGAATTCTGTTTTTTCTCCCCTCAGAACCTCCTTCGGGGACACATTCAGCTCCCTCACAAGCCAACCAGTCCATAGCAGCGCTTTAAATCTCCTTTTTCTCCCAGCTTATTGCTGAGGCGGCCGGT